TGGTCAGGTCCCAAAAATAAATCTTGAGTTCTATGTTGTTCTTCAAATATTTCATCATTAATAATAGTTGCACTTACATAATCAACTTCAGAACTTCCTTTACGAAACTTTGTTGTTAATTCCCAAACAGTTGAATTTGTATCTCTCGCATGTATCTTTAAAGTCAATTAGAAATATTAAAATATTTAAATAATAAAAAAAAATTCTTAATATTAAAATCAATTGTACATTACTTGTGACTTATATAGAACTAACTAAATTTTTAGGGTATAACACATTTACATGCTTTTATAAATTTTTGTTGAGTTAGATTNTATAGAACTAACTAAATTTTTAGGGTATAACACATTTTCATGCTTTTATAAATTTTTGTTGAGTTAGATTCTGAACACTTTACCAGGCAGTACAAATTTTTATTTGTAGGCTTAGAAACTAAGTTATGTATTTTAATTAAATGTAGAGTTATGAATGGAGGTGGAGTTTATTTCCACCAAAAACGAAAAATATTTCTATGATACAATTTGTATCAATAATTAAGTTGCACTAACTGGTATAGTAATTACCCTTGCTATACCATCATGTAATTTCAAATGGAAGTACTATTTAAATTGAGAAAAAATACACAACCAAACGTAGAAAAAATAATTTTTTTATGACAATAAAACAAAACTTCCTTTTTTAAAAATGGGTTAGTTAAGTGGTATTGCAGTGATATTGGCCATATTATATATTGATTAGTATTGGTATTCTATATATTAGTATTCCATAGTCAACAGATTTTACTAGGTGAGTATACAACTAAAGATTTTTATAATTAATAGTCTATATTTATTTACCCTTCTATGTTTGTTAAAATTTGTCACTGTAGCAAATTCTTTATTACACATATTACAAAAATATGGCTTTTCTCCTAAAATAAATTTATTATAAATGACTTAATTTAAAATTTACAAATTTTTATATAAATATTAATATTACCTGTATGAGTTCGAGAATGTCTGACAAGTGCAGTTCGGTCAATAAAACTTTTTGGACAAAATTCACAAATAAATTGCCTGTCATTGAAGTGCCGTTTCAAATGAAATTTTAATGTGTTATGATGGGGAAATGATCTTTCACACACAGTACATTTGTACGGCTTATCTCCACTATGACAGCGTAAATGTGTTTTAATCTAAAAATATTTTTAAGTGTAAGTAAATAAAGTTAATTTAGTACAAATAAAAAATAAAATTTACTTGAGATGATGTTCGGAATGAGACAGAGCAGTGTACACATTTAAAGGGTTTCTCTCCAGTATGAATACGCATGTGCTCTTGTAAATTTCCATTTTGAAAATACTTTTTATGACATATTTTACATTCAAATTTTTTTTCACCTAAAATTTAGTAAAAGTTATAGTTTAGTTTTAATTTTACTTATTAATATGTTTTACTTATACTAAATCAATTTAGTAGTTTACCAAAATGAATATTTATTAAGAATAGAAGGTTTAAAAAAGTTTCGTTTTATTATACCTTGGTGTGTTAATAAATGAGTATTGAGTCCTTTCNCTTGGTGTGTTAATAAATGAGTATTAAGTCCTTTCTTATTAACATATGTTTTTTTACAATGTTCACATTCGAATCTATCTACTGAAACAACTTCACGATTGTGATTATTGGATTGCTCTAAAATAGTCAAAATCAGTAAATTTTATTTGTTAAATAAACACAGTTAAAAAAATTATAGTTATATAATTCATGGATATTATTTGATATCGAAGTATTATGAATTTATTTTTCAATTGCCAGTATTTTTTTAACATTATTTAAATTCAATTTGTTTCAAATATTACAATATGGCTTACTTAAAAACAAAGTATGATAATTTAACTTTATGCAAACGAAAAAATATAAATATAATCTTAGAATTTTTATATGGAATACAGGTGTGGTATACTAATACCAGTACAATAGAATATAATGTCATCCTAATGTGTTAGAAATGATAAAACTAGGAATAGTAAGTTGGGGATTGAACAATTGTTTCTATACAACATTTCATAGGAGAATGGTCGTTTATTCTAATAGATCTGTCATGACTTTATATAGTCAGATTTGAGGAGAAAATAAAAATTAGACAAAGGAAAATGAGTTTAATGAAAGAGATAAGATAAAGTTTACTTTTATTTAAAAATAATACAATCATCTATTTACCATGTTTTTTTAAATGAAATCTTAGATCATTTTTATGGTATAAAACTAAACCACATATTTCACATACAAACTCATCAATTTCTTTAATATTCTTTTGAAAGTTTAAATTTGACTTGTTTGTGTTAATATTTCCATAGTTTACAGATGTAAATTTTTTAATATTGTTCATTTCATAAATATTATTTAAAAACTTCTGACCATCTAGTAGATCATCTATAAACTTTACAAGCATGTCTAATTGACATTTACAATTTGCACAAATTTTTTTTGGAAAGTCATCATCATTCGAAACCTATAATAAAATTTAATATTAATACTTAATGCAGAAAATGTCTATTACAAAAATAGCTTTTAACAGAAAATTAATTAAAAATGAATGATTGGTCTTTCTCAAAAGAAAGTAACAGCAACCAGTGGCATGCTACTTTTTAACTAATTAGTCTATCGACTCGTAAATAGATTACCTTTTTAATAGGAGGACGATTAAGAGTTTCTTACTTTGCACTGCTACTCAATTAATATAGCTAAATTTACCATTAAAAAATAAAACCAACTTTGTTATTAACTATACAGTATATATTTAACATACCTGAATCGGCAAATAACGGTTGATTAAGTCGGCAATAGTAAGATCTACAGAATCTTCTTTTTCATATATTAAGTATCCTGATGAATTATTTAATCCACAAAGTCGACAAATTTCTGATTGTCTTAGAGAAAATATAGGATTTTCAAATTCCATTTTATCTTTTAATTTGATAAATATTCGAACACATGAAAAAATATTAGGATATCATTTATTTGAAAAAAAAAATACTAATTAAAAGACAATTTTTTTCTTTTCATCATTTTTTCAAACTTCATAATAATTTACCCTAAAAGATTGTAAAAAGATACATCTTTTATTGAATTTGTTATCAATTAATTTGTATCATTTTACTAAAAATGATAACACTTTAAAAATATTAAAGGAACGCTTATTTAAGACATACATTTATATACATTTATAAGTGTATATGTAAATAAAAAAATGTTTTATATGTCTATGATCACATCCGAAAATAATATGTGTCATATCCAGTGGCGTACACAGAAATTAAATTTAGGGGGGGGGGTTTGAAATTTAAAGAAAATTAGATGTGATACTGCCCATATTGTTCGATTACAAAAATTCCTGTTTTAGATTACTTTATTGTGGAAATATTTATAGTATGATATGATCTTTTTTATTGTTATTACTTATTGTTTATGGCCCAAAATCGTCGATTAGCTTATAAATTTTGGGTGGGTTTCAACCTCCAAAACCCCCCTATGTTTTTCCCATTAACACTTAAAAATATAAAGCTACTTATTGTTTAAAATATTTAATGCTATGTTTATAGATCAAATTTTAGTTGCTTTAATTTGCATATTTTATAAAAATTTAAATAAGTACACAAAACATTAAAAAAAGTAATTCTTTATATATCTGATAATTACATTTGTAATTATTAGTACAAACATGTACTCTTTTGAGCTACTGAAATATTTAAAAATCCCGAGGGTGAGGTTTTTGATGAACAAATAAATATATCATTTGTGTTTTCTGCTGTTAAACCCATATCATAGAAATCATTTACCCCACACAAATGATTCTTTACGAGTTTAATGGTCAATCGTTTAACTCTAAACTGAATATTATTATAAAAGGTTTTATCGATTATTTTTTAATAAGCTAGGTATAGCTAGGTCATGTCTGGTATAAATAATTTAAATATTTTCGAATACTGCTAAAATGGCAACGTCAGTAACTATATGAAAATTATACTCATAATTTTTACAACAGTAAAATCGATCATAGCTTATAATCTTATCCTAAAAATTTTTCTTAGTTAAAGCTATATTTTAATGACATAAGATAAATAAAGAAATCTTTGTTAGTAAGTATATTTAACTAATATATATTTTTTTATATAATTTAAAAAAGTTGACAATATAAATATATTTTGTTAATTTTAATACATGAAATATAATACTCTAAAATATAATTTCTTTTTACATCTGTATGAAAAATATCTTTTTATGTATCTATTTAATAAAAATATTATATTTAAATATTATAAATGTTTTCCATTGGTACAATTTTATAATATTTACTATGAAGTACTAAAATAAATTAATGAGAGATATTTTACATAGTAAAATTACGTTATTGTTTAAATTATTTGAATTTGGTTACTGTTGAGATTTGGCTTCAAATAAGTCTTTGAAAAGCAAAATGAAAAGTAGGAATTAATATTTTGATTTTTTTATTTTATTTAACCTTATAAAGAAAATTTCTTTCGAGATAAATTATACCTCGTTTTAATTAAGTAAAAATGTCTTTTAGTGTTTCTCTTCCTAAAAATACTCTTGCTTAATTAGTAATAATAATTATCTTTACATAGGGTTGACAATTATAACTTAGAAAAATATTGAGCAAGTTATGTATAATCAATATCGTAAAACTTTTTTGTTTTTCGTTTCATACTAGGAATATTTTTTCTTGGAGATATGAAAATTATAATCCGTCGAATATCTATAATATTGATTTAACAGGACTCAGTAATGGCCCTCCTCACCATTACCATTTTAAAATGAAAAAATAACTTTTTTTTAGACATGATTTATATTATTTTTAGTATAATGCTAAATAAATTTAAGGTAATCTACAATAAAAATATATTTTATAATGATTTGACTACATTGTGCAACAATTCTTGAGGGACGTTTCGTTAATAACTGATAAGCTTATTATGAGGTTCGGATATTGTGTATAAGATTATATAGTTTATACTTATCAGTATTTAAAAAGCGTTAAACGATTTATTGCTTTCAAACGTAATTTTGATACCTATCATAACTTTTTATTAATAGTGTTGAATAATACCATCTTAGTTACAATGACCTGCTTCATTATGCTACCCAATGACAAATACAGTTGACCTTTTATTAGAACCGGATCTTTTTGTCCAAACTATGTAGTATGAAAAATAAAATGTAAGTATTTTCTTTATAACTTAAAAAATCAAGAATTTGTTTCTTAATTATAGCAATCAAATAGTATCGATATTTTTCAAAGTAGTAAATCAAAGTTTAAATATAATACCAGAAATATTAGATTGACATATTCAAAAATGTTTCAATAGAATACCATGATTATTAATTGAGATAAAGATTTTTATATTTAATAGAACATATTACCACGCCCTATATTTACTATTAAATTCAAATTCAATGTTGTACATAATAGACAAATACTCTTTTTGATGCAATTTAATATTTTAAAATGTGTGTTTCCAACGTGTCCATGTTTTATATGTCAAGATTGAATTTATTATTTTTAAATATTTAAAAACTTTTACTAGTATTTATCACTTAAGTCTTTTAGTGTCATTTATTAAGGCTGGATAAATAACTATTGATATTTACATAATTTATCTAATTTTAAAAATATTCTTGAATATAACACAATTATTATAATTGAGTAATAGTATATTTGATTTCTTAATGCAATTATTGATTAAACATTTATTGAGTTTTTTAATTATTCATGCAACTTATAATATATACAGAGTGTCTTAGACTAACTGTCAATGCTTATATAGGCTTATGTAATCTAAGAAGGCAATAATTATTTTAAAAAGAATTTTTAAGAAAATGATAATGGTATCAAAAATTATAAGCGTTAAGTAAGACAAGATACTTGTGTTTTGAAAAAAGTGTAATTACTATAAAATCATTTATATTTATAGTATTAAATTCATTTTTCTATCCAAACCTATCTCATTAATTTTTCTCATATAAACTATGGCATATTATCACTTTACAGGTCATGTCTTATACCTTTAGTTACTGCCTGGGTTTATTTTCTAGATATTTTATTTATTAAATCAACAAAAAAGATTAAAGCAAAGCTTTGATTTTAAGATTATAATTTATTTAAATTTAGTTTTTACTGCTTTTAAAATAACTTTTAAAAAAGTTTTGTTTTGAATTAGATTTAAGTTGATTAAAATTGATAAATATATGCAATTAAATTTCAGAATACATTTCATTCATCATCTCCTAAAAATTTGAAAAAAATTGGTATACTGTATTGAACATATAAACATTATTTGTACTATCTATTAAGTTCATAGGGGTCAGTTGGAAGGTTAGGGAGCTCTGTCTTCCAATTTACAATTTTGCCCCTCTAGAAGTTTAGTAAAATTTTATGCACTGTTATATAGAGATTATTATTTGGTGGAGGAAAAATTTTTTTTATTCAAATTCCATAAACAATTGGCCACCCTATGTCTTTGATTAAGTTTGTACAAATTTTTGGTATCCTGAAAAAAGAATTTGGTCAATTTTTTCAATTTTTTCAATTTAATTGGATAGAACTTTCAAAAGCTTGAAAATACTCATTGTAGTATTGCAAGAAAATTTTTATTTATTTTGTCAATTAATTAAACAGGATCAATATAAAAATTATTCTTTTTGTGTCAAAATGAGCCATAAAATTAAAATTTATTTTATACAAAATTTAATTAAGTTCCTTCTTGTTAAAGCTAGAGTAATAAGTATTAAACTAATTTTATATCATGTTAATTTTTGTGTCATTCTATTTTATTTTAGTGAAACACATTAAATTAAAAATGAGTACAAATTTTATAAAATTAAGTCCAGATAAAGCAGATAAGCGGTATTTAATACAAATCAAAGTACCTTCTCTCTGTTTGTATACAATGTTGAGTGTATTTATTACATTTATTTTTTGTATTTTTTGGACTATATGGTTTCATCTGGAAGACTCTACAGGAACTCATTGTGGAGTAAGTATTTTAATGCTAACAATCACAAATTTTATTACTTAATATTAATCATATTAGGTAAAAAATTATCTACCTTCAATATCTACTGCAATTGGGAAATATTCAATACAACAGTTTTTGTGGAATCTGGCAATATTTGCTCATAGTCCAATTAGATTAGTTGTAACCAGTATGTACTTTCAGTACTACAGTAAAATAATCAAATCATCATTGAATTGGTGTGTTCTACTTCTATGGACATTGAATATTATTGAATTGTGTTCATTAGTATCATTATCAGTGTTTACATCAACAAATTATTACAGTAAGTTTTTAATAGTTATTTAGTTTTAATCAATTTACAATAATTGAAAATTTGGTGTTAAAGGTATTCATGAAAAAAGTTTTATTACATTTATAAGTGCATCTGAACTAAATATGTTGATATCATGTATGTTACTGAAGAAAGGACGTTTTAATAAGACTGTAGCTACCAAATTAGAATCAAAATCATTATCTTATAAGATATATTTAACAATATTTAATTGTATATGTTTTACAATTGCTGCTGTTTGTTTTTTACGTCACAATGCTTATTGTGAAACTGGTGGTAAGAAAAACTTTAAAATTAAAAAGAAATCTTCTCTTCTTCCTCGCCTTAATCCCAACTACTTGGGGTTGGCCACCCTTATCCCAAACTTTACTTGACACGATCTTCCACATCATCTACGCTCACATCAGCTGTCCTCATATTGCAGACGCTTCTCTCCATTTCAATCACTCGCACTTAATTCTGTGTCTTACATTCTCGTCAATACCTCCACTCTTTTGCACAACTGACCCTAAATACTTAAAACTCTCCATCTCTCCAATCACGTCCTCGCTTATTGTCACTGACCTCCTCATTTCACCTACCTAGCGTTCTCCTTTGTCAAACTCGTACTCTATATACTTTGTCTTACTTCTACTTATCCGTAAACCCTTTTCTTCAAGAGCTCATCTCCACACCTCTAGCCTTTGGTTAATTTCCTCCCTATTTTCTTCTATTAACACTATATCGTCAGAAAACAACATGCATTATAGCACATTTCCTTGTATTTCTCTTGTAATTTCATCCCTCACTATAGAGAATAAGTAAGGGCTTAAAGAAGAACTATGCTTTAGTTTTTTCTAAACTTGGTGCACTCCTACTCTTATCCGAAAACCTTCTGATACTCCTACACTTTTTAGTACACAAGTGCCATCATACATGTCTTCTGTTATATTAATGTACCTTTTCGGGACTCCTTTTCTAATTAATGCCCACTTTAAAACCTGTCTTGGTTTTCTCTCTCTCTTTAAAATTAAAAAGAAATATTCTTTAAAATATAATTTTTTCTTTGATCAAGTACATTATTTGAGTGATATTCTTATAATTGTATAATATCATTAAGAAAAAAGTATTGTGATAATAATTTTAACTTAAAATGAAGTTAATATTTAACGTTATTTTTTTATAACATATATCATACAAATTATTTTAATTAATCTGTGATTACTTGTCAAAAATTCTATGAAAAATGATTGTGTTTAATATACTTTTTTAATTATTATTAATATTTTGTTTATTTTTTCATGGTTACTGAACTTTTATTTAATTATGAAATTTTTTTTTATTGAAAACTTATTAAAATAATCGTGGCATTTCAGAACTTATATGCCATTACCTTTTGTGCATACATATATGTATTTCTCTTATTCCTTTATGTCTTAATTAATTCTAAAAAGAAAACATATGCTGCTTAACATATAAGCAGCATTATTTTGTTATGATAATTTACTCAGTGGTATGACATTAAGGTGCATAGGTACCGGGGTTTGATTCCATTTCACTGGGCTGTTTAGGTTTTTTTGCCTTCTAACACAAGGTTAAAATAGCTTTTAGAAAGGATTTTTAACATAATAATAATAAAAAAAAAAGGTTCCAATCATATAAAGTTTTATTTTATATTTATTCTGAATTGATGTTGTATGAAATTACTAATTAGGATTATCAATTTTTATTTAAAAATATATTAGTCATATACAGAGTGATCAGTAAATCATAAACTCAATTATATTCAAAATACAATACTGGAAAAAAGAAATTTTGATTTCTTTTAGTTCTTGATTTATCAATTACTAGTTACTTTTTAAAGTTATTCCTTATAACTTAAGGGGTTGTTAACTTTATTTTTTTAAATGTAACATATATATTTGGCTAGCTTATGAAATAGAAAATTATCTAATTAAGAAAATAACTCGTCGATAATAACTTTTGGAACAGTACTTTGGAAGTTATTCTCATTTTTAAACTAAACAAAGAATACGATAGAGAAATGATTAGTGATAGATATGGCATCACCCACGACTTACCTCCAGTTTTAACTTTAAATTGTTAACAACTTCTATAAAAGTGGTCCAAAAATACTTATCGACCAGTCATTTTCTTAATTAAAAAAATTCTTATTTTATAAGTATGTTGCCAATTAAAAATATAAAGTTGACACCCCAATAAGTTAGAAATAGTTCTAAAAAGTAATTAATTTAGTTAAATCAAGAAATATATTCAACTAAATGAAATCAAACATTTTTTTTTTCATTATTATTATATTTACTTTGTGAGTAAAGAAGTGATTTATGATAATCCAATTACACTTATTATCATTTTTATTTTAAGTAGTGGTTGGATAGATGGATAAAATATATTCTATAGCAGTCTTCATTATAGAAGATTTTTTTTTGTTGTTTAATATTTGGCCACAAATTATATTATAGTATGTTTGATGCTAATTCAAAGGCTATATTTTCATATTATGAAAATTTAGCCTATGAAATTAAACACTAGAATTACTCGAGTTATGCTAAAGTAGGTCGATTCCCTCTAAATATCACTTAATTCTACAGTTTTTTCTAATATTTCAATTTTTAAAAAACTTAAAAATGTAAAACATTGAGTGTTAAAGTCTTTTTAAACTGTTAATAATAATAAACTTATTCCTCATAGACATATAGAAAGATGCAGGCAATGGTGAATTTCCAGTGCAACAGGATTCTAAAAGGGTTAAGTTTCCTAATAAATTAACATCTAAAATAACATCTTAAGTAAAACACACATTAAAAAAAAATGTTCAAAAATACTAATGATACTTGTATGACTGTATTATTTTAATTACTACTATATTTTACTTTTTAATTTTTCAGTGTATACAATCTTTGCGTTTTTTGAATATCTAGTTGTACTGAGCAACATGGGCTTTCATATGACTGCTTCTTTAGATTTAGCAGGAATGTCAATAGTTTTAGATGACAATCTTAATATTCATTATAGATGAGAGTTGTTTTATTGTTAACTATTTGATATCTGAGATACTAATATAAATATAAGGTTTAATAACCATTTGTTGTGATACTGTTAATACCAAAAATAAAATGATCTATCATCTTTAATATTATGTTTAAGTGTTAAATTAAAGTTAATGAATTGTTTATGACTAATAAAGTAATATATTTAGACAGTTTTTGTTATATTAATATCTTAGATTTTAAGTAATAATTCTTGATGTTTGTTTAAAAAAGTGACTATTGTTTTACAATAAAATTGTTACACATATTATATTAATAAAGCTAATTGAGTTATTTTAGTTAAATGATAGTGTAAATTAGTTAAAACAAAAATTTAAATTAGACTTCAGTTATTATTTTATTTAAAAATTGTGATATTTATTATAAATAATTAAAAATATATAGTTGTGTGATATCACAATGTTATATATTTCTTAAGTTTTGGCATCAACTTTCGATATAATATCAAATATATGGCTATCAGTGAAACTCCATTCATAANACTTTCGATATAATATCAAATATATGGCTATCAGTGAAACTCCATTCATAAATGCAAAAAATATTCATGTATTAACAATTACATTTTTTCTATTTTTTAAGTTTTTTGTTTACAGAATAGTTCATTGGTTATTTAACTAGTAGACAGTGTTGTGAATAATATTGAATTAATTGAGCATTCAAAAACATGTTTTCTTTATTTAAGTAATCTGTTATGAGTAAAGTAATGTATTCGTCTTATTTGATGTCCTATAACCTTTTGAGCAATTAAACTGTAAAAGACGCATTTTAATGAATACATATTTATTTATTATTAGCTACAATAATTTATTCATAAAATAAATCATTACCCAATCATGAGAATGTTTTTATAATTTTCTAATGTTATTTTGGTTGTCCATAGTGTTATTTTAGAACTTGTGGATTTTACATGTACGGATATTCCGTTTATATCACTGGAAACTTCTGAGAACCTATCACCAATAACACTCAAAACCTATAATAGTTAATAGGTAAATCTATAATATATATATTTCATAGAAACTTAGGAATTTGTGGTGGTAATTTTGAATGAAAAATAAATAATTTATATGTTAATGGATCTACAATTACGACATAGATTACTGTTTAGGAAAAATTGAGCAAAATATTTTATCATAACTTATTTGAATTAATAAATTTAAAACCTGAGTAAATTTATAAAGTTAAAATTGTTAAACTATTCAAAACGATGTTGGAATCACGAACCAAATTATTCCATGTCTTAGTTAAACAACGGTTTGGTTTTAATATTACAATCCATCGTCCAGCGCCACTATTCGTCTCATGTTCCCATACAGGTAAACTTTTTTCATCAAAAACAAATAAACTTGTATTTAAATGGTTAATTGATGGTTGAATGATATGATTCAATAATCTGTGATATTATATGAATTATTTGTCGCCTTATATTTATTCATATATTTTTAACTAATATTTTTTGGTTACACTTAAAGCCATGGTCAAATAATGTTTTACAAATTTATTGAAAAAATCATGATGTTTTTGACCCCCAGGATTTTTTTATTTCATTCAAACTCTATAATGATAGTTTTGTTAGGTTAGCACTATTGTCTTTATGGATAAAGAAATAAAAAAATAGCTTTTTTAATTTTGATTTATTTTTTACATTATTATATTGTGTAATTTAATATAATTTAGGTGTATGAAAAATCGAATTTAAAATCTTTTCAAATATAAAAAAACATTTATTCATAAGAATCAATTAAAATGTGACTAATAAAAAAAAATATGATTAAAATTAACGCCTTGTCTATTTTTCTTAATAATTATGAGAATAATTAAAGCAATTATTTGTAGAATGATTTTCCTGTTCATAGAATTTAATTAAACCTAATATTTTTAAAAACAAACTGTAGACACATTTTTTTTAAATTAGTAAGAATACTGATGCATCCCTCAGTTCAAAGTAATTTGTCCCCAAGGACACATGGACGGCCGATAATTTTAATTTTTAAGTGTTCTGTTTCTAAATATAAGAAATTGATAAAAAATAATGTAAACAATTAAACTTATAATACCTTTAATTTATCTCAAAATCGGTAAAATATTTTAATTATTTAATACTTCAGTAAAATTATTAAAATATAAACGAAAGTGAAAAAAAAAGTGATTAGAGTTTTGCTTATAGAAGTACAATATAAAATTTAATTTGTCTTAGCGTGAGAAGTATTAGTCGCTTTGTGTACTCTAATTCATCATTAAATACAAAAAATCTAAGGCTAATCAAAAAAAATATATGTCATTTTAAGTAGTTTAAATTTATAACTAACTTCCATAAATAATTAACATCGCGAACGGTGTCAATCTTGATAAGGTATTCTTCCCATGGTAGTTGTGGATTTAATACAGTTGCTTTTTTGTACCAAAATGTCCAAGGCCTAATTGGATATGTAATTGAAATTTCTGGATATAAAACAATACGACTAACTTCAACAGGTTTTATTGATTTTTCTGTGGCAATATCAGTTGTAGTTGTTATTTGCATGTTACCTATTTTCCTTATTCAAAATATTCATCGATCGCCTTTAATTGTTACTTTTATTAATACTCATCACTCAAGTGTAGTATTAATCTTTAAAATTTTTATTCAAATTATTTTTGTAGTTAATTGACTGTTGAAAATTGTTTAAATAAATAAATAAATATTGTTGCCTTAACAATTATGAATTTAAATCATTATTTGGCTAACAAATTAGAGTATGCTAGTGCATTAAAATATAAATCAAATTCTAGTTAATAAGAAAGTATTTGTCAGATAATTTTAAATTTTATTGTTAATTTTATATTTTAGTAAAAAACTATAGACCTGCATACTAATATGTAATAAGAAGTAGTGTACGTAGGTTTGTAGTGTGGGTAGAGATTCACTAAAAATTGATACAGAGGCACAACCAGGAAATAATTTTGAGGGGGTATTATTACTCACAAAAAAATATTGCAGAAGTTTTGACTAGAAATAATGATGTGAGATAATGAAAGTTGGGTTGAGTCTTTTTTAATTTACATTAACTACACCAGACTGTTAAATTGAATACATTATGTTGAACATTGACACTTATCCACCAAGAAATATACAATGCTACAGTAAAAATTTCAAATCTTTTGAATTTAATTCTTATGGATTTAGAATTCAAAATTCGAATTCTAGTTTAACTGTAACCAATATTCTCCTAACAAGAAAGCCACTAATCACTTTAACACTATAAACTCGTATTATTTTAACTCCGTAAATATAATTAAAATTAACACTATAATATTTCTAAGTGAAATTTCTTCATGTAATTATGTGTAATTACAACTGCACTTGAGCATAAAATAATTATCCATATTTTTGCGTGTACTTTTATCTTCGATGCGAAGCTGAGAAAGTATTAATTTTATCATAAGTATTAATTTTTCTTTGAGTTACCAACACTGTATTGAATTAATTAAAAGATTGACATAATAGTAGGTAAATGCCATAATAATAAACTTGTTTATTAGAGTAAAATTTTACTAAAAAAAAAAAATAAAATTTTACTATGATGTGTTTTTTTTTTTGTGTCTGTTGCCATTTTTTCTCAGCTCTCACCGAATCGATTTCTTTCAACGATACGTCAAAAGATCCCAAATCGTATCTAGTCGAAGAAATTACCCTCAAAAATGGAAAAAATTTCCCTCGTTCCCCATAAATGGGGGAAACCTCCAAAAAAATTACAAATTTAAAAATCGCTAATTTTCGATATTTTTTCAATTTTTTAAATTTTTTTTACTTAATATTGCCATAAATTTTTAAAAATAACCAAATCAATATATTTATTTATTTATTAACCCTACCCGACCAGTATTTTCGCCTGTTATGGACTGACTTGAATATTAATTAATTAAAATTTAATGACAATACTCTTCAATATTAACAGAAAAAAAATCCCACCACAGGGGGGTCGCGGCACAGTGGTGACGTGGCATAGTTGGATCAAGTATAATGATATCTGACAGTGATTAAAATCACTATAAAAAAAAAAAACGCTTCAATGCAAATCTTTAGATAGTGTTTAATTTTAAAAAATTGGTGGATTATTCCAAAAGCTTCATAAACTGCTAGTTCCTTATTAATATCCTGATTAAGATAAAGTATGTCGAATGAAAAAGGGATTATTAAAAAATAGTATTTCCCATAAAAAAATTATATTGATCAATACACTTTTCAATAAGTTATAGCATTATAAAGTTAAAAATGTAAAAAATAAAATTGAGAATTTTCACACAATAATAGCATTTGGTAGCCATTTTCACCGTGAAGACAAAATAAAGTCCGAAATTTTTTTTTTACATAATAAAGTAGATTACATTAGCTTTAATTTAATATATATATAAAAGTGTCAGACTTTCCGGAACACTTTCAAGGGTCAGATATAAAAAAAATATATAGCAAATGATAGGTAATGACATCATGCATCTATAAAAAAAAGAATTATATTGATATGTTTATTTTTAAAAAAGTTACGGCAGTTTTTAGTAAAAAAAATTGAAAAAATGTCGAAAATTAGCCATTTTTAAATTTGTAATTTTTTCGGATGTTTCCCCCATTTACGGGGAACGAGGGAAAATTTTTAATTTTTGAGGGTAATGTCTTCGACTAGATACGATTTGTGATCTTTTGAAGTATCATTGAAAGAAATCAGTTCAGTGAGAAGAGCTGAGAAAAAATAGTAACACATACAAAACAAAAAACACATAGTAAAATCAATACCTTCTCAGCGTCGTATCGAAGCTAAAAATAAGTCAATAGAATGTGACTTATCACTTTTATAATATTAGAAAATAAAATGTATAATTTAAGGATGTATGGAATCATTAGGATCGGTGGGCAAGACTACTAATTTAACAACAGGGAGCACAAGTGTACCATGGGCGGTTTGAACGCGCACTGCACGCGCAATTTTATCGGGTCCTGGCGTTAATGCCATTATTCTACCTAAGCACCACATTAATGGAGACACGAGTTATCTTTAATAATGACCATGTCGCCCACGCAATCATTTGTGGTTGATCAGTTAACCATTTAGCTCTTTGTTGTAAAGTGGACAAGTATTCCGATGACCACCTATGCCAGAAAGCCCAGTACGCGGCGGAACAGCAAGTAACGGTTGTTATATAAGAAAGTACCCTGGTGTGAGGCAATCAAGATCATGCGGATTAGTGGACCTGGGGACAGAGGCCGAGAATTTCTATTCGGCGGTGAATTCTTCATGTGTAAACATATGAGAGCACTCATATTTATTAATTTTCATCTCAATATTATTATAGCTATAATATATTTATTACTTAAAGAAATAATTTTTATAATTATATTGTAGTAAGTATGTAACAAATACATGGAATTTACAAAGAAAGACTTATGTGATAAGTAAAACAAAATAAGATTTTTGGGAATGATCTAAAATATATATGTGAAGTCTAAACATTAATAGTTAACAATAATGTAATTATAACTTTAAGAAATCTACTTATGAAAATTAACTTGTCAGTATCTAACATTTAGTATTTAGTGATGTAATAATAAAACTCCCATTTAATCCACAATAAATGGTTTAAGTCTTTCGTCTATATTAGTATCGTGACAGTTAATTTTTTCGAAACCCAGATTTTTGTAACAATTATTGTAAATATTTTCACAAAAGTTGTCAAAAAAATGACACGCAATTTGATAAGTTTGGATTTTTGGAGTAGTATTTGGATCATTCAATGTATTAACTGAATTCCTGAAATATTTTATTATATTTTTCCTATCAAAAAAAAGATTTTTTGTAAAATGACACCAGGTGTCAAAACGACTCGTGTTGCAATTAGTAATCTTATAATAAATGATATCAAGATAATCTTGAAAAATGTGCAGAAGACTTTGAATTATTTCATTAATTTTTTCATTATCATTTTGATCGACAAAATCAATTTGAAAATAGTTATTTTTCTTCAATAAATTGAGACTATATGATATCCATTCAAATATTCTATGTAAACTGGAAAGAGAGTTTATTTTAAATGTCCATATTGATGATTTATTTAATGTAATTAAAGCATTATACAACCCTTTAAGCATTTTTTTAGATTTGTTAAATGATTTAAATAATTGAATTAAACATTTGTTTTGGTGATCAATTGAATCTTTTTTGCATATAAACAATATAGCAGATAATAATGTTTGGTAGTTTTTTAATACTTCTGTATACTTACATCTTAATAATTGTACTACGTGTTCTTTTTTTATTCGAAAATTTATATCATTAATTTTTTCTTTTATTATATAATCTACATCGTAGTATTTCTTATAATAAACTATATTTATGTGATTCATTGATTTCCAACCAGTTTCCAAACGAAGAATATTGAGAGCATTAATGCTATCATCCTGTCTTATTTCTGGATCTATTGGTGGTGTGAAACTATTTTAAACAAAAATATTACGATTACTACATAAATACATTAATAATAAACGTTATCAAACATTATTAATGAGACATTTTATTCTGATCAATTTAGTAAAAAAGGTTCAGTCAATATATTATAATGCTAAAATATTAAAAATACAAATAAATACAATTCGGAAAAAAATTATTTTAATTTGATAAATTAAAATATAACAATTTTTTAGAGTATTATTTTTATAAATTTTAACACAGTTGGATATGTAGCATAGATAAAGTTGCAAGCAACACAAATGTAGTTATTTATTTATATGAAAACATAATAAAATTTAATAAATATATACCGCTTGAGATAATTCAATATCACAATACGAAATAAAAATCGTAGTGAAATCATATTATAATGTCATGATTATTATTTTTCAAAAATTATTTTAAATTATATTTCTTATAGATTTACTTTATACTAACACAGTAGTTGCGTCAATGTTTTACGTGTGTGAAAGGACAGGTAAACACAAATTAAATAGTACTCGCTGGGTTAATATAAATTTAAATAAAAATTAACCAAGTTATAAAATATAAGTTAATTCCAAGTACAACATTGTATAAAATATAATCTGTATATTATTACAAATAAAAATAGATGGATATGAATCGCGTGAAAAAGAAAAAACCAGATAGATCGTTTCCCATCAGAACTTTGTGTTCCAGTAAATAGACTTAGAACCCTAATTAAAATAGTGGAGGTATTTACTTTAAGATGAATTTGTGATTTATAAAGGTGATGAATGAAACTTAGTAAATGAGCTTTAAATTAATCACTGAATATACAGTATCAAGTCAATTCACATTACAATATATTTAATTATTTCGTAACGAAATGACTTTTTTTAATTTATTTACGAGCCGTTGAATATCTAATATAATACGTTATAAATAATGACTTATCATAAGTAAACATATGCTTTAGAAAAATTTTTTTTTTATTTTTAATAAAAATATTTAAATTTAAATATAATATTATAAAATAAAAAAAAATGTTAGAGTTCTTACTCAGGTGTTTCTGGGTTAAGCAACTTTTCAAAGCCAATATTTTTGTACCAAATTTCTATGGTTTCGTTATAAAAAGAATTAAGTTCACTGCACATAGAATAAACATTAGCAATGTTATTTTCGTTAGAACAGTCATCAATATTAATATTTGAATCAATAGAGCATTCTTTAATTTGATTTTCTTTCAAATCTGTATTAAAATCAGAAATATCGATGATTTGACTATTTTGGAAAAGATCGTTTAGTATTTCTAATGCGTCTTCATAAAATTGTTTCAAATTCTCATATGTCGTTTTAGAATCTTCAAGATTTGGTAAGATGTTAATGTCAATAAAATAGGTGGTCTCTAATTTTTTTACAAATTGTTGAAAAAAATCAATTTCATCAATTATGGGATGCGGTGCGAGGCCTTCATGAAACAAAAACCTTATATCTATGTAGCTTATAAACTTCATAGCATTGTGGAGATATTCAAACATAGACTTGGAATTTTTCACTTCTGTTTCAAGTAACGATACACAACTAATAAAATTTTCCGATAAATTTCTTTCATGAGATTGCTTACATTTATCAATAATAATGTTTATGTAATAAAGAAATTTTTTAAGTATTTCAGTGTACTTAAAATTGAGTACACTTATTGTGTAACGATAGTTACATGAGAAATCATTTGATATATTATTTTCCTCTAAATCGGGATAATTTAAAGATTGTTTTAGTTTTAAATTTTGCATTTGATATGAACCAATTTGTGAATGAATATGTGCCACGACTGTTTGGATGTAATTTTTATAATGCTGATTATATTTTCTTTTGGGTTGTACTCCTTCAGTAGGATTCAAAACGAAAATGACAATAGATATTAAAATAAAAAAATTAAATTCCATTGAAAAAAAATGTAATATCTTAAAAATTTAAATCTCAAAACACTTGTTTGAAACTTAGAGATATTTAAAATGAATATGTGCAAATGTGTTTATTAAGTTATATAATTTTTCTTTGTGAAGATAAAAATATATATTACAATCCAATATAGTGTGAATTTTTTTTTTCAAATAATTTTTTATACAATATGTAAATTATTTTATGACTTATAATATGTTGAAAATTTTGTTATAAAAAAATTCTGTATAAAGACAATGATAGAAAATAGTTGCCTTATATATTTATTGATATAGTAATAATCAAAGTTAATGGAAATATTAACTAAAGTTAATTATGATCAATGTCGATAAATTAACAGTTAAAAGTTAACAAATTATAAATTTAACTAGCTAAGTTAAAAGATAAGTTGAATTTATTTTTAACTTACCTAGTTTAAAAAGTTTTTTTTTTTATTAGCATTTATTTAAAAATATTATGGCTTAACAATTAATATGTGAAACGACTGTAAATATTACAAATAAATACGTTTACAACAAAAGAAGTAACAGGAAAGAAAACATAAGTGTAATAAAATTATTTATAAGAGATATTCATGTTATAAGTTTACAATAAAATAAAATATAATAAAAAGTACAATAGTCAATAATTATGTGTAAATTAAATGGAGCAGCCAGCACACAAAAGAAAATATATAATTGAGTTAATAATGGACATATTACGGGAATTAAGGATTAGAAAAGGATCGGGGTTAGTTATACCATGAGTGGCTAGGAAGTATAATAATTAAGACTTACTGGAATTGAGAGAAGGACAAAATAATAAAAAATGAGAAAAATCACAAAAAATTTCATCCTCGTAGAGTTGGGAGAAAGAGACAAAATTAAGGTTAAGTTTGAAGGAGAAATAGGGTTGAAAATTGTGACCAACTCTTAAGCGGGAGAAAGCGACGATAGATTTTCGGGATAGATCAAGACGATGGAACCAGGCAAGATTTGAGGGATATGGGGTGATTGATCGGTGCCATTGAGCAAAGTTTGAGGCAAGTGAGGACCATTTGGTTGACCAAGCATTAGATAAGGAAAGATTTAAAATATGAGAGGCATTGGATTTAAGAAAAGAATAGTGGTAATTAAGGAAACTTGAAGTTTGTTTGGCTAAGCGGTCGCTTGTTTCATTACCATGGATTCCTACATGACCAGGAATTCAATGGAAGTGAATAACTTTGTCAGTGACAGAAAATTTATGAAGGTGGCATCTAATTTTGAGGATAATTGAGGAAGTGTGAGCACTAAAGGGGTTGGAAATTATTGCTGAAATACTGGACATATGAAGAATGAGGTGTCGTTTAAGTATAGAATGTGATACAGTGTATAAAATATCGCAAAGCATTCAGCGGTGTAAGAATAGGAGAAAGTGTGTAAGGAGGTAGAGAAGGACACATTATAACTAGGAACGACCTGCTTTAAGGGATGTGACCGACCCATCAGTGAAAATTAAGCAGAAGTTTGGAAAGTTTTCATAAATATAAGAATTGAAGAGGTTATTAACTAGCGCTGAGGGAAAAGAATGAAGGCTGGAAGTGGGATAGTTAAGAAAGTTAGGCAAAATGGTTCTTATAGGGGTAAGTAAAAGGGCATCGAAGGGACAATCGTAAAAAGGGAGCCTATTGTGAGATTTTTGAATAGCAGGGGCCAAAGGAGTAAGTGATGTACATAGAGAGGCAAGGATAGGTAAAGTTTTGGGGACATAGCGCCAGCACTCCTGAACTGACTTGAATGTATTATAGATAATAGAGTTAGGAGAAGCTAAAGATTTTAGTATAAAAATAATCCACCTAGACGGCGGCATCTAATTTCAATAGGGGGAAACAACATTCTAGTTCAAGACTAGGAATGGGTGTGGAGGGTAGGGCACTGATAATGGTATGTAAACAAAATGCAGTAAAGAATTAATTTTTTTACGATGGCATAAAGAGGCAGAGGAAAAATAAATGCGCCGTAGTCTATTTTAGCGCGGATAATTGAATTGAAAATTAAAAGAGGAGAAGAAGGGTGACAAGAGGTGTCAATAATCCTACGAAAGCAATTAGACCAATGCAATAAAAATAAGGAATACATTTTAACTTAGGGTCTAGAATAAGACCTAGATATGTAACAGAGGGCGAAGGAAAGAAAAATTGACCGTCTAAACGGATTTGAGGAATTTTGAGGGGCAGATTTTTCCTTGTAAAAATAATGAATGTAGTTATGTCTGGTGCTAAAATGAAATAAGAAGAAAGGAAGCTAGAGGATAGAGTAGATAATGTATTATTAAGAGTACATATAGCGGTTGTAAGACAGCTGTCTGAGGAAATGAGAACAATATCATCTGCATAAAATAAAGAGGAATACCCATGAAAGGAAAGGTTATTACTAATAGGACTCATGTAAATATTAAAAAGAATAGGACTGAGACAACTTCCCTGAGGTAATCCTCTATAGGTAGATCTAGAAACTGACAGATCTGGCTGGGAAGAAAAATCCTGAAACCAAAGAGATTATTAGGTAAGAGATTGTTTTTTTTTATATATCAGTCTAGTCGAGACTTGATCATGAGTTCAACAGTTTTGCAAAGTGAGGAGGAAAGAGCAATAGGTCGGAAAGAAGTGGGGGTAGAGTGAGGTTTTGGTAAGGGAATAACATGAAAATATTTCCATGAAGGAGGAATTAAGCAATTGGTCCACAGGGAGTTTAATATAGTTAGGAGAATATCAAGACTAAATTGGGGAAGATGTTTTAACATTAATGGAAAGATGCCATCAAGACCACAAGCAGAAGAAGCACGTGAAAATATTGCTAATGTAAAGTAAACGGCATAGTTAAAATGGTTGGAAGAGGGGGGAATATAAATAGACTAAAGACAAACAGGAGAAGAATGGTTAGAGAAAGTAACAATACCAACAAGGTCAATTAATTGAATACGTAGAGAGTTTAAAAGATTATCGTTAATAGTAATAGGGGAAATTTGAATGATGAGATGGGCAGCAATAGCCACTCCACCGTAACCGCCCTGTCTATCAGAACGAATGAGGTTAAAATTATTGATGTGGTAAGACCGTTTGGGTAAAAGCCAGGTCTCCGATAAAAGAACAAATGAGCATTTTTGTTTAGATAAGAGGTAAAAAAGGTCATGAGTGTGTGGAATATATTCCACACACTCATATTCTTCTCATATACTTCTGCATATATTCCATTGCAAAATATTAAAGGCAGAACAGAAGTTCAGAAAATTATTGACATTATTTAAAGTTGTCATCATTAATTGTCTCTAACGATTTGGCGTTATATAAGGAAAATTTTATTAAAAAACAGAGCAAGGCAAAAGAAGAAAGCGAGTTAAGATCGCGAATAAGGGACTGAGATAGTTGATCAATAAAAAACGGAATCCAATCATTATTTTCATGTGTAAAAGGAATTAATGGAAGTTACGTAATTAAAGTAACTACCATTAGGGGTAGTGGAATGTTCATTAACATGGTTATGTAAGAAGAATTTGGGAGGGGGGAATTGGCGTTATGATTATTTACAGCATTTTTTTTTTTATGTTTTTGTGCGGTGAAAGAATTGTGAGTAGGAAAAGAGGAGGTAAGTAAATTGCTATCTATAGTATGAGGTCTGGTTGGCTGTTCATTATTAACATTGTTAGAATTTTTAATATTATTAACATTATTGATATTTTTAACATTATTAATACTATTGTTCCTGTTAGAAGTATTATTATTTGTGATTTTTGCGCAGGAAAAACCTAAGTAGACAATACCAGAACGCTTAATTGCTGCGGCTTCAGAGTAAGAAATATTGTTAACTGCCATAATTTTTTGTATGCCCTTTTGAAGAGTCCTTTTTTTTTTCCTTCACCCGGCATAATGTGGACCGCCCTGGAACTACCGTTAGGTATTGCTTCACGCGACCTACGCCGTCTATAAATCACAACGTGGTGTGGCCTCCCCCGTTAGCCGGACCCCAGAGTGGGATCCGTTGCCCAGGTTGCACTGCGCGGAGGTGAGGGCAGGACTTCACGAGGGTTGGCTTAATAATTCACAAACATACATAAAACATAAAAAACACATGCAATAATCACCTACGGTGCCAGTCGAGTTGACGCCATAGGTACTCCTACCCGGGGCAGTCTCTGCCTCAGGCGTTCGGCGTCCTTTTTTTGGCTCATCACCGATTCGGCGAACGCCTGGACCAGTGACCACCACCCCTCCTGGCTTCTCAGCATTAGGTCCACCATGGACCCCACGCCGAACGCGGTCCCGGAGCGGAATTCCAACTCCTCCCGCTCGATGGCCCACGCCTCGCACCGGAAGAGCGTATGCAATGCATTGTCCGCTTCTCCCAGGCGATCCCTTTTGAAGAGTCCATTCGACACAAAACCGATCGGTTGAGGTGTGGTTTAAGTGACAAAAAATACAGAAAGGCGGAGAAGTAGATGATGTGTTGTGGTCTGCTAAGCCGCAGTGCCCGCAGCGTTCTTTACTACAGCAAAATTTTTGTGTGTGTCCGAAGCGAAGGCATCTAGCGCATTGAACGGGGCTACGCACGATAGATGAGACATAAAATAAAACTTTGTAGATAGACACAAATTTCGGTTGAGAGGTGGAAAGAAATTTCAACTCAACGAACGGAGAGGGGACAAGTTGATTGTTACGCTTGGTGTTGAAACGTCTAAAAGATAAGATTTCTGTAGAGCACTCTAAACTGTCCCAAAAATCATTTTCGGTAACATTGATGTCTTAGCGTATCACGCCCAAACTGAATAATAGCGTGTCGGTATGGAAGCAAATAAACCGTTCTCTGAGTGATGAGACGAGTTTAAAAATAAATTGACATTATGGACAGTATCTAGAGTTATTTTCAAACATTTATCACTTATGGGTTTAATATTTATAATACCCTTAAAAGATTTGGTAACAACTTTACCTAATTTAACAGGATGTAGTTTACCTAAATTTTTTTCATCTGTCATTGATAGTAAAACGCAAATAGGACCAGAATAATTATCTGGAAAGCGAGTGACGTCGTGTTGTTGACT